TACACTGCCTTCTGCTCGAAGGATCCATTTTCAAAATAGACATTTATACACCATTCGATAGAGAATTTGAACAGCTACATTTTACACTGTTTATATTTGAGAAAAGAGTTACTTCGGTTTTTTGCCTAATGTCCGCCTGGATGCCCACTGTGCAGGATATATTTTTATATCCCAAATTGGATATATATCCTCATCGGGATATGTATCCCGTTCGGGCCATGAGATGAAGAAAAAGCGAAAATGTGCATACAAAAAAAGTATGTGTTTGAAAATTATAAGTAATGTACTAACGTAAGGCATGGTTTCCAGTATAGAAATGAGAACAAAATTCAAGCAGAAGTACAGTAAAGGGATGGATACATTAGAAGACCCCTCCTTGAGTGAGCGAAGCAAAAGACAGATTAAAAGATCCCTATTAACAAAGGTGGATTTTTTGAGAATTTTTGCAAATATTTTTATCTTTTTGCACTTCTTTGAATATGCATCTCTGCAGCTGAAGCGCAGAAATATTAATTAATATTGTTGCTTCGATGATTCTCCCATTCAACCAAGTCATATACCATGGTATAGATTTGATTCGAATTGTGCCGAATCCGATTAGTCAGAGGCACCTGATGAGAAGCGTGATTTAGATTCGCTGGAACATGTTAAACTTATTGAAACTTTTTGTGTACCCAAGATCTTGGGTTAAGAAATGTCACAAGACCATGGAAAAAACACCAGGAAGTCCAGATGTTGGTTTCTTGAATCTTTCACTCAACGCCTTTAGAACAGAAATGTCCAGATCTTGAGTGAATCCACTCAAGCTCTTGCAACAGCTTGGGTGAAAAAAAAATAATCTTACTTAAAAAAAAAAAAAGAAGTTTCACTAGGGTTATAATTAAAAATCAAAATAAATACTTGCATTTAAAAGATACGTGGAAGACTAGGTGTATTTTTTCTTTTTTTGTTGTCGAACAACAGTGAATTAACAGTTTTCTGCGTGTAATTTACTGTATTGTGTAAAGAAAAATATTGCGGTTTTGAACTGCGAGTTTTACTGCTGAGGGTATCGAAAAATATAGAATTTGGATACGATGAGATGGAAGTACGTAAAAGCTAAAGTACGTTTTTTTTAAAGGAATGTTACAATTGCGTTAGTGTGTATCTGAAGATTATTGGACGGTGTCGAGGCTGTTTATCTACACTCAAACCCTCCCTCGACGATCTCGAAATGCTTTGAAACCTTCAAAAGGATATACTTTGTTTGGAAGTTTATGCTTCGTTTTTCACCTTGAATTGTCACTAGCATTTTGTAAAACTCACCATAAAAACCATGCATTCTGCTGATTCATTACAGTAATATGTAGTTTAAATTATATTTTCATAGTTGGCAATGATGAAGGTGGGACAAACGATAGAGTGGACAAAATAGTACGGACAGTATTGAGAAAGATCAACCAAAACAATTCAAATTCAGATAATGCTCATCAAACTACCTGTAGTAGCTGCACATCGTATCGATTCACTAGTGATCGATATAAGTGTCTTCAATGTGAAAATTATGATCTATGCGCAAAGTGTTTTGAGAAGAGACGTGAAACTAAAAATCATCAAAGTGGTCATCCTGTAGTACAATTTCGAACACCATCGGAAGTATTGGGAGCTGAACTTAAAACCGAGGACCTAACATTGAAAATCTTAGAAAAATTATTCCAACGAGAAAGACATAGTAATATAACTTGTAATGGATGCCTACAACGACCTATCATTGGTCTTCGTTTCAAATGTGATACATGTCCCAATTACGATTTGTGTCATCAATGCATATCAAAGTCTATAACAACGGATAGTCATAAACTAGATCATCCTCTTGTTGCCGTTCCAAAACATCGAATACCACAGATTGACAGAGATGATATTGAACTTGGTGATGCTTTAGGACAAGGAGCATTTGGTGAGCACACACTTTTTCTGCTATCATTGTTAAAACTCTTCGTATATCATTTAGGCACTGTGTATAAAGCAATATGGTTATCGAAAAAGCGCACAGTTGCTTGTAAAGTGATCATTGCTTCTGCAACACGGTCAGAAGCTTTGTTCAATAGTTTTCTCAAAGAACTAGCTGCTTACAGAGAGTTATCTGGCGCGTATATTCTCAAAACTTTCGGTTACACGCAGACAAAACTTGCCGAAGGGTTGAATGAATATCGACTCATTACGGAATTTATGGAGAAAGGTAGTCTGCAGTCATTAATTGATAATGCGGACAACGACTTATCGATCCGTCGAAAGTTAGACATGTCGTGTAATATCGCTAGCGGAATGAGAAAGATTCACGAACACAATATGATACATCGAGACATCCGACCAGATAATATTCTTGTGAACGACCAACTTGTGGCTAAAATTGGTGATATGGGTATTGCTCGAACAGTTGATACAAAAGATTGCCATACGCAAATCGGTTGTCAACCGTTTATGCCACCAGAGTTTTTTTGTGGAGAAAATAACAAAGCCTCATATAATCAAAAACTTGATATTTACACCTTTGGATTAACACTCAATATATTATTTACCAACACACAACATAAATTTCAGGTATTAAGCAAACAAAAAATTCTTATAAAACAAAGCCCTGTATTTTGGGACCTCATTTGTCGTTGTACAGATGATCATCCCGAACAACGGCCCTCAGCCGTGGAGCTGGAGAAAACTTTGGAACTGTACAATATCGCTTTCAAACAACTCGTTATCCAAGTAGATCGGAGTTATGTTAGCCTATCGACTGAGGATAAAAACAAAAAGTTTATGGAATTTTACGAATCTTTCGATCCACAAGCGAGAAAATATATCATAAAGATGTTTCCTCGAGTTGTTCGAGAAAACAGTAGTGGCAGTCAATTTGGTTAATAGTAGGCGATGTGGGTGAATCTGAAAATTGTTTCATACAATGACAACTGTCTGATCAAGGTCCAAAAGACCATAGTTCTTGGCCACGTAGATTCGACAGTTTCTCTTCATTTTTATGCTCTGTTCGTGCTGCAGAAAAAGAAGGAATAATAAATGAAATGAGTGGAGGGAGTTATTGAGTAGTTTACAAGCAATAGATTCGCCAACTATTCCTCGAGCCGACGCTTTTGTGAACTGGACTCATATTTGCAATACTCTTGTTCATGAAAAGCAGGAGAGCTTCCACGACCTTTGTCGATGAGTGTGACAGGAGAAGCACATCAGGTCAGAATAAACCACCTCATAATATTTCCTCGCGGAGATGATTGATTCAGCTCGAGGAAGCGTCCGAACCGCTTAGTGAAAGAGTCTTTCTGGAAAAAGTCATGTTATGTTTGGATCATACACTGTCGAAAAAAAGTGTCTTGATAAATCACTCGACTGGCTTAAAAATGCTTGCACAGTGCGTTTTGAAGGCACGTTAGGTGCATTTTCTCCTCTTTTTACTGATAGTCACTTTAATGTCTTCGAAAAAACACCTCTAAGTTGCAGTGTTTTTCGAAAAAAATAGCTTAGGTGCATTTGATAGACATCACTAATATATCAGAAACACACAATGCACTAGCTACAGTCAAGCTCCTTAATCACCCTTTTGATATGATTTCAATTTAATCATTTCCCACAATGCCTTTATCAGTTTTTTGTTTGATTCAATATAAATGTTTCACCTTATTCTACTGTAATTGAATCATTTTTAGTTTATTAACCGCCTTATTTTTAATTTGTTGCTTGCGTATTTAACTTTGTCACATGTTAAAATAAAATGTTTTTCGTAGTAGCCTACTTTTATAAGGCTAATCCCGTGTATTCATCGAATCCTCAATGTCTTAAGGACATCAGGATATCTTATTATATGCATCAAAAATGGACTTGACTTACACGGGAGAAGATATTAAAAATGGCTTGACCCAACATCCATGATGTCTCACAAAGATGCTACGGATACATTGGAATCCAGCCGCTTTTGTAAGGCATCGTAGCGCGTCTTTTACATGGAAATTTGATCTTACTAATCAAAAATGAAGTCACCTTTGACTCGCCTGAAGTGCATTTTTTTTCGAACATGCATCTCTTTTTCACAGTCATATGTTCAACTGCTTTTCATTTTTATATCTTGCATAGACTAGAGTAATAAAATGCGGAATAGTTAAAAGCACGTAAGTTTTTTGTTTTAAAATTAATTTTCTTTTCGTCGACATGTTCTGGTTAATCCTCCATTAACTATAATTATTCAGTGAAATGTAACCAGTTCTGATCGTGGAACGTCTTTCTATCATGAACATATTTATATGTCATTAACGCCGACAAATATTGCAAACAAGTTCTCATATGCTACTCGGCAACCCAAAAACTAAAAAATCATCCAAATCAACTTCAATCTTCACTCATTATTGTATTAGCAATTTACATTCAACGTCAACCAAAAATATCGTTTGTAGACGGTTATATGTGGAAATAGTGTTTCCTGCGATCTTCCATAGTTCTTGTTTAGTCAGTAAATAGCAAATTATGACTTTAAACAAAAAAAGAATGAACTTTCTACGACAAACCGCTACTAAAAATCTTGGGACGCACTTCAGATGCAACTCTTATATAGAGAAAATGTGTATTAAACGCTATATGAAAACTCGATTTTAGGACTTCTAGGAAAATGCCTGTAACTTTTTGATGCAAGGTCATACAGAGCTGTGCGAGGTCTTATTTTAATTGGAAACGTTTGTTCTACAAAGCTGTATGTTCAGAAAAATTTCAATTGCATAAGTATCCAGGAAAAGCTATTATTTATAGACCCAGTTTTTCAAGACTCTTAAAAAACTTGCTCAAAATCCCCGAAAAAACAGTTTTGTAACTAAAAGCAATATAGATTCTGGAAACAGACACTGCAGGCTATCTTACCATGTGCGTATCTCAAAAACGACTTTTTGACCAAAAATCACAATTTCTAAGGGAGGGTGGAGCGTTAAAGAAAAGCATACAAAGTAATATTTTCTCGAAAATTCGTTTTTCCCTCCTTAAAAAGTAAAAATTCAATAACTCAAGAAAGGAAATAGCTAAGAGTCTGAAACTTTCTATGTTATTGACAGAGGATTAGTAACACTATCACAAAAAATGTCATCTTCTATTTTGTATTTTGATATAATCGGCTTGTCCAAACGTAACGGCGTGATATTTTTGACATAGTAGTTCTCAATTTTTATAGAAATTCCAAGAGGTAGAGGGGTGATTTCACCGCCATTTTGTGCAGTTCACTATCCTCTGTCTCTGGTGAAAAAGTGAGAAAATCTGGGTAATATTTACGGCTTTGGGAAGGAATATTCGGTGCGTGACGGACGTGACAGAAAAGGCCCTAAATTGCGAGTACATCCAATTAAACGCTAATTTTCTGCGAAACTACTTGAGCAAATTGAAACTGCCCACCAGCGAAATTTTAGAGAAGTTAATTCTTCAGCTGACGTATCGATAGATATTTTTTAACCCTCTTCTCTAGATACTCCTGGTGAATCATCGAATTACCTAGCTACAATGCTCGATAACTGAATGGAACTCGATACATCAAGTACAGATACGAATTGACGATTGAATTGCATCAGGCAATGCCCCTGCATATGGTCACGCGCATAATCATGGGAATCATCGATTACTTATGCCATTTATCAAGATTTTACGATAGATACTAGACATTCATACGCTCAGGTGTTTGTCGAATTCGTTCTCCAACATCTTTCCTTCACAGGAAGCACGGCTGATTTTTGGAAGCTTTAAAAGCGTACTGAAGTACGAGGTGAAAAACCTAGTTTTTCAGCAACCCATACCCAAAAGTGACTTCGGAGCTCTAGACGGAAGACATGTCTATTTTATTTTTCGAGAAGGTACCGTGATAAAAATTCTAGCCTCTCTCCAAAATAGTCGTTACTGTTGTGCAACAAAACGAGGAATGAGGATGAGATGTATTCTTAAATATAATATTACTATTAAAATATTAAAATAACACTGACTTACTATTGCATTTGGGCTACTATTCACACTTGATAGCATCTTGTTTCTCCATAAGTTTTAAAATACACATGACTCAGCAACTAATGAAATGCATAAAATAGTCGTTGCATTAATCGAAACCACTCAACGACTTTGATTTAAACTGCACTACTTATTATGTCCACATTTCATCTATACTCAATCTCTCTTACTGGTTTTTTCCTTTTTTCAAAGAGTTTTTCTGTTTTGGTATCCAGTCTTCAAGCGCTTTTCTAAGTTTAGTTAAATGCCTTCAAATGCAAAGCCAGAGTTGACCATCATAAATTAGAACTGTGCCATTACAGAACTTGTTAACAGTGTAATTGGGAAGCGAAATGTAAAAGAGTCGTTTTTGATTTCTTTTGCATTCAGTTATAAGTGGTTACGCAGCTCTCGAATATTTGTCCAGAAGAATTCTTATCAAAAAATTTGTTATTCTTCGTATAAAATATGCGCTTTCATATATCACAAGATTAGAGAAAAAGAAAGAAACAAAAGTATTTTACGTAGCTGACTAAAACAATGTGTAAGAAAGATTACTTCAGGCAACAGAAAAAGAAGAAAGTCATTAACTTTTACTTCTGCCTAGTATAGACGTCTGCTTTAACTAATTCCTTGATCTAGTCCATATACTCTGAGTGTACCACTATTCACGATCTCATTAGAGTATGTTTAAGGTTAGTAAAAGATCTTCAGTTTGACGTCCATACTACGCGGTTCTTTACGTTAATTTAGTCTTAGTTAAACAAAACCGTTCACATCATCTCATTCTTTAACTTGGTTGGTCTCCAATTACAGAGTGAGTTTGAGCATTCAGTCTAGATAAAGTTGATATAAGTGTCCTTACACCTGATGATAAGAAATTGTAGAGAAAAGAAAAGGATCTTGATTAGAAAATTACCTCTGTTTTTCGTGTGGCAGAAACTCTTCATCGTCGCAAAGCAAGGACGCTACTTGTTCTACAAGGTGCAGACGAAGAGCTGCAGTTTAATCAGGTGTCGAATTCCATACTTTCCACCTCAACAGATAGTGTTGCGTAACATTTTGATTGTGACTAGACTTGTGCACCGGTCGGAAAATCGGCGGCGGCGTGTAACAAAAGCTTTCCGAATAGCAGCGGCGGAGTCTCGTTAAAGATTTCCTGCCTTTGGTGGCGGCGGCTAAAAAAATGTTCAATCGGCGGGACTAAACGATTATTTAAAACTTTGGATCGTCAGCGGAGTGGCGCAACCAAATTTGAATACGAAGCTTAGTTTAAGCCAAGATCCATTGTCACATTTTTTATTTTATTTTCAATCAAAATAATAAGAGAAACAAAAGCTGCAATGTTTTTAGCCCTTAAACATACTATAATTACCATGTACGTATTGTATTTTACCGAAAAGAACTAAATCAGTATCCATCCAATTTCTCATGACTTTTTTTATCCAAAACATTTTCTGTTGACGGAGGCTAAATCAAGTTTGTACGGCGAGGAGCTACAAAAATTTCGATGGGGCGCCGAAAATCTAAATTTTTCATTAGCGGCGGCGGTGCGACGCACAGGTCTAAGTGCAACAACTTCCAGTGGCTCATAGCCGTTCCTAAAACTGACAGATCGTCGCAACTCTCCTCTTTTCTCAACTTTAGAAATGATTCAACAACACCTTAGCATAATATAGGAAAACGCAAAATTCATGATATCGAAACTATCCAAACTAAAGAACAACAACTTTATTCTCAGCGACAAGAACTTACGTCAGAACTCATATCAGATACTTCAGATTTGATTTCATTGATCACTAAGAGTGCATCTGACTGTGCACAACATAACTCTGTGTCGTAAACCCATCCACAATGAACGTTCGCTTTACCGACATTGACGGTGTGAACAAACAGCTGCCGGCTGTTTATGGCTATTTGAGTTCACCTCTTCTTCCACTTCAAGAAGCTGTGAAACCCATCACATCGCTTATACCAGAACTTGCTCTCTATGTCCAGATCGCGAGACAACACTGCAACACAACCACCCATTTGACTCCAGAAGAAGCAGCTGCTATCTACCTGTACACCATGGAAATGGGCAATCACAGCTTCTATCGAGTTCTCAACGACGCACTACGCTCAGAAGATCGGTCAGCTCTCAACCCGTGGTTTTCTTATCTGAAACTCCTCGATGTCGCTCTAAACAAGATACCGTCACAGCGAATGGTTATCTGGCGCGGCGTAGACAAGAATATCAGTCACAAGTTCAAGAAGGGCGCCATATTCACCTGGTGGACTGTGAGCTCGTGCTCAGTATCCATCGATGTTATTAAAAGCTTTATCGGTACCAAGAACAGCACGCTGTTTCTAATTGAGTCATTGAACGGTAAAAACATTTCGCAGTATACTGCATATCCGAGCGAAGATGAGATTACGCTCATGTCCGGAACAACGCTGATGGTGTCCAGCAATTCGTTGGGGCACGAAGGGGGTTTACATGTTGTTCACTTGAAAGAGTGGGACAAAACGCAAGTGAAAGATGGGAGCTTAACTAAATCGGAAACTCAATGTGCTATCCACAAACTGACTTTATCTAACGGTAGCAAATACGAAGGAGAGTGTTTGGATGGAAAAGCCCATGGTCGAGGGAAATGCGCGTGGTCAGATGGTAGATGTTATGATGGTGAGTGGAGAAAGGCTCGAAAACAAGATAAACAGAGCGTTGTAGTACGATGCAAACGACACGCAAATGAAGTGGGTGTTATAATATAGTCCAATATCATAGTTAGTGGAGAACTTGATCCTTGACTCCATTCGACTTCTATCGCAGATATGCAGATGAAGAACAAGGTTGGGTTGATTGAGAAAGTTTCTTGATTTAAGCAGCGTGCAATAAGACATGTGTTTCCAGCGTGAGTTGAGTACAGGACAAAATGGCCTTCGAATGATATAAGCCTGACAAGGAACAGTTGCTGTATGTGCTTCATGTGTTTTAGGTGAATGGAAAGATGATAAAAGAACTGGCCGAGGAACATCCAGTTGGACAACTGGTAATAAATACGTTGGTGATTACGAAAATGACAGGAAACACGGTCATGGTACATACATATTTGCAAGTGGTAACAAATACGACGGTGAATGGAAGGATGATAGAATGAATGGCCAAGGAACATTCAGTTGGTCAAATGGCGATAAATACGAGGGTGAATGGAAAGATGATAAAATGACTGGCCGAGGAAGACTGAATTGGTCAAATGGTAACAAATATGAGGGTGAATGGAAAGATGATAAAATGACTGGCCGTGGAACATTTCTTTGGACAAATGGTGATATATACGACGGTCAGTGGAAAGATAGTAAGCAATATGGTAAAGGCGTTATGACAAATGCAAATGGCACACGACACGAAGGTTGGTGGAAAGACGGCATGAGGTGTTAATACTGGCGAGTCAGCTCTCGGTCCCGCTTTTATAACCTGTTCCTCGTTTCCTTTTCTCTGAAACAATAGCTTTGAAAGTAAATGGGTTAAGCACCCCCTCCTCCACCGTCAAAAACCTATCTCTGAAACTATAAGTCCAAACCAAAGCTAATTCAACAACTACTAAAAAATTTTTTATAACAATTAAAAAAATAATGTTATACGCGAGTTAAGAAAAGAGAAGAAAACAATATTCTCATCTACTTATAAACGATTTTAAAACCTAAAACGTTTTAGACTAGCATAAATAAAAATCGTAAAGATAGTTTTGATATACCAGCTACTCTAATATATAAAAATTTTATCGCTACGGATGATAAATTCAAATTTGAACTATTTAATCAGCATTTCATCAATTCTTTCTCAGTTATGAACGGATCATTAACGGCATCATCCCAAGTACTATCGGATCTAAATGATTTGAGATAAAATACCATCATCATTCCTGTTTATTAGAAAGATGATCGTTCATCGGTCGAAAACTATCGGCCAATATCTGCGCCGAGTAATTGCAGTATACTGTGAAAATAATGTTTTCTAAAAGTAATATGCAGTTTCCTTCAGCAAGAAACTGGTTTAAAATTTTCTTCTTTTTATCAAAAGTTGTGCCTTCAACTCTTCTATCGATTTCTTAAAAGACAGTCCGTGTGAATATCGACCACATCAGCCGCAGCTAAAATTATTTTTGTTCTTAGAATTCTAGTTCGAAAGAGCTCGTCAAAAAACTAAGCAATCCCAGATAACTCGCCTTCGTACTGAACAATCCCGCTTGTTTTTCGTCTGAGAAAACATTCGGTGCGTAGAAAAGAATCATATAGCAAAGAAAGGTGAAAGAACAGACACTCTAATTAAAGCTTTACGATACGAGAATTTAAACCCGTTTCGAATTATTCGTCGCCGAAAACAGAATATAATTCGTCGTGAATAACTTTTGGTTCAATATGAAGCGCAGTACGCACTTTAATGTAGAAACGAAAACTTTCTTTATTCGTCTAAAACATGGGTGCATAGCATCCGTCGAACTTTTCTCATGTAACAATAGCAAATGGTGAAGGATGATACATTTAAAAAATATAGAGCACTGTTGACGCTACAAGTACATACGGGAAGAAATTTTATTTAAGCTGTCCGTGGAGTAACATAATACTGAAACCACTACTTTTGTACCACCCTAAGTATATATATATCCCAGACTTACCGATGTTGATCTTTCTCCGCTGAACGATTTACCATAATGAAAAATGAACTACACTGTAGATATATCATCCGTAATTTTTCGGTTATATATACTGGCAAAGTGTTGTAATAACTAAAACAACTTCACTCTCCCTTTGACAACATCTCCCCATTTTCAGAAAATTCCTTCATAAATTTCACTCTCCCTTGGAATAGCACCTCCGTTTCTTTTTCTACTGGTCTGTCTCCCTACTGTGCTTGTTCAGATAATGTATATAAGTAGCGTTTACTCTAACAGCAGCTACCATTTCACGAGCATTTATCGATAAAGATAATTCGAAACGAGTTTAAATTCTCGTATACATTCTGTGTTTTCTGCTTTTAAAATTCCCCACCATCTTTACAAAAGACATACTTTTCTATCAAAAATAAAAACAAAAATTACAAAAAACTTTTTCTATTATTATTTAATCAAGCAACGTTGCTCCATACTCATTAGCCCTCTGATGACCTTCATCTCAACAAAAACATTAGAAACTTTTTTAAACATCCTTTATCTCTGTGGTATTCAGGAATAAAAGTTCCGCAGATTCATTCTAGCATCACCAACTGAAACACAACATCATAAATATCATAAAACGACAACTGATGACTGATATAATAAAAATGAATAAAATCTGTCATTAGATAATTTGAGATTAGACGAACCTGATAATTACAAAGTAGTGGCAACTAATACTGATGGTAGGTACATTAGAAGGATCTGTTACGTATCAGTGTGGTTCATTGATAAAGCCTTTCGTAATCATACGTATTTTCAATTATCTAATTTTCATAATCATTTAAAAAGTGATAAATGTACAATGATTAAATCAAAACAACATCAAACGATGATAGGAATAATAATAAAAATAATAATAATAATAACGATAATACGAATGATAATCAATAACAACAACAATCACCAGCAACAAATAGCAATGATAAACAAAATGACGATACAATTATTTCGAATGATCCAGAAAATAATAATGATGATGACAGTGGTATTGAAAATGAAACGTCCTCCTTATCAACAAGTTATTTCTAGAGATTCTGTTAATTTCTAGAGATGTGAATGTGTTATATTTATTGTAGGCTTGATTTTGATACAGTAACAAGAGTCATTAAAGGTTTTTATTCATTTTGATAGTAGGGGTAATTAACAGATGTTTAGAAATTGTATTATCAGCACAGGAGGGGTTCTAGAACATGCAATATGAACTTGAAGCCATATTCTAGGGATTTCCGTCTATCATAGCACGTGCTCTTGTCATTTCAGAAATCTTTCTATTATTTGATTCTCATTCTATGTGCATTTAATGGAAGAATGGAATATTATCATTTGCCTCTAGTACATGATGACGTTCTGTTATATTCCAATGAAAAATTTTACAATTTAGACAACGAATTAGCTGGAGAAGATGTGCTTTCAATATTAAAAATTCAATCAATACATTCTGTTCAATCTTTATTGCATCGAAAATGTATTAGAATTATTTAATTACGATTGTTCTGATTTAATTGAAATAAAGAAAAAATCATGTTTTATGTTATCAGTTGGGACGTTTATCATCAAATGTGGAATTATTAATCGACTAAACTATCTTACAAATATATTAAAATTAAAAGATGAACAACGAATAAACCTGACGAGCGAACCGATTTAACTCTCAAATCGTTTCTTCGATGAGACCTAGTGGATTATAGGTTATCGACTATGCTGATTCCGAACATGATCATGGCAGTTACCTATAGGTCTCCAGAGATTCGATTTTGGAAAACTAGTTTTTCAGAAACTCTAAAAAATAATCGGAACCTTTCTTAATGAAGCATAATTGTAGCCCGCATTTTTCTGACTAAAATGAGACATCTCCTAGCTCTATACGACCTTTCTTTGAAAAGTTATAGAATTTACACGAAAAGCCCTAAATTAATTTCTTCTGATTTCTGTGACTTTGAGCTGACAATGAACATTTAGGACTTTTCTTGTAAATTCTATAACTTTGCAAAGACAGGTCGCCTAGAGCTACGAGATGTCTCATTTTAATCAGATATTTGCGAGCTACAATTATGCCTCATTAAGAAAAGTTCTGGTTATTTTTTAGAGTTTCTGAAAAACTGGTTTTCCCAAAATCAGATCTCTGGAAACTTACAGGTAACTGTCATGATCATATTCAGAATCAGCATAGTCGATAATGTATAATCCACTACGTCTCATTGAAAAAACGGTTTGACAGTTAAATTGGTTCTATTATGAATGAAAGTCCGTCATCATCAAACGAATTAGTAATTAAACATGCATTACTGAAAGCATTAATTTTATAAAACTAGTACCATCGACCTGGATAAGCATGAAGAAGCATTTTAACAACATTGATAAATAATATAACATCGCATTTAAAATGTTCAAAAGATAGTTTTAGATATAATCAAACAATGCAGAATGTGGCGCTATCATTATTTATACTCGGTGGTAAGAATGTATATCGGCCCGGCCAAGAGTGGCGGAATGACATTTTTTCGTCTTTTGCTACCTCTATTTGCCGAATTATCGATCCAACTTTAGGTATCTTCTTTGCCTTGTTTGATTTATTGTTTTGTTTCTATTCTTTCTCTTGATTTTTTAACGCGTAGGTACGCATACTCAAAATGTGGAACGTATGTGGATGGTGGCAAAAATGAGAGAGAAATCAATGATGGGAATATACAAAACGTTATTAGGCACGCGTTAAAAAATTAAGAGAAAGAATAGAAACAAAACAATAAATCAAACAAGGCAAAGAAAACACGTAAAGTTGGATCGATAAAATGGAGTGAATGGTTGACGGTAAGATGTATTTCCAAACATCATGTTACAACTGATGGTAAGCAGTCCATTCATCGCTAAATATCTGTGTACCTATCGAAGTTGAAAAGCATTAAGAAAAAGTAGGAAAGAAGACATCTAAAACACCTGGCAAAACACATAGATGAATTAATAGCAAAAGTGTTGCAACAACTCTTGTGTCGACACAAACATCAAAGCATTCTCGTGTATCTCGATTAATACCCCCGAAAACCCGCTGAGTTTCAATTCGAACGCGACCAACATTATATTGTCTTTGTGTCCAACCGCCTTTATCAGTTTCCAAAATATGATCCGGTCCACCTATTTGCCAAGTAAAAATAATAATGAATATGCAGGTCTTTTTAGACGTGAATTTCTACCTATAGTTGTTGAATGTCTAAGAAAATATTCAGCATAAATATCACGTATAAAATTTCTCCTGTCAATATATGTTGAATTACTTTACATTGTATAATGACGATGTAGAAACTCAACAGAATCAATCTTTTGAAACCAATAAAAGATTAAGTCAAGCATTTGAGACAAACTTAGGTGAGAACCACTGAAAAATTTAATGCTATTCTAGTAATAAGTTTATGTTTATGTTTCATAACGTGAGCAGCTTGGCACACCTATTTAGTTCTCTTGTGAAGGGATGAAGGCGACCTTTTTATTTCATTAGAACCACCACAAAACGACCTTTGCAGTCGGCATCATCGCTATTGGTTCATCACTGAATTAGTCTTACCCAAGCAAAACCTCTCTAGCAGAAATATCTAGATGCCTTTGCTGGTGCATCGGCCGATTTTTTTTACTCATTTAGCTAGATGCAACTGCTGGAGCATCGGGTTATCTAGATGCATCGCTCGATG